AATCTCGCAATAATCTGCGAAAAATCTTATTCATTAATCTATTATTGAATTAATCCCATTATGTGTAGATCGCTGGAGAACAACGAAAACGTTCCAACCGTTTCAAACGAGTTGGAATGTTTTCTCTCTCCTTCTTCTCCATTTTCTTTCTCACTCGCACTCGTTAATTTTGGTGGAGGACGGGCACGTGACAGCGCGACGGAGACGACAATGAGTGGGAGCGAGCGCGATACATATTCCTTTCTCACTCAGGGGGGGAATAAATATATATAATCGAACATTACTATAGTAAAAAAAAAACAAAATCTGCACAATTATTCAATAGAATCACTGGAAAACTATAGAGTTTTCCAGCGACAGCGCTGGGATTTTCTATGAATTTTTTGACCTACGTGTCAATGATAAATATGTCGAGAAAAAGGAAAAGACTTTTAGATCATTAGATTGTGCATTCATTATACTATTGATTATAATATGTTCGATTTTACATTCCTGACAATTATTACAAAATGCGAGGAGCTACCGTATTGAGAATCCCTTTCCGGTTATCGACAAATTTATGCTCGGGCCCTATCATACCAACAGTTCCGTACGCTCCATCGTAGTCCATGCGCCACCGCTACGATTTTTGTTGTTGTACACTTTACATTGGCCCTGTTCATCTCCCCTATAATCTCTGATAAAACTCTAAACGATGACAGTCAGTATAACAATCCTGTGGATAACGATTTAAGATGGCTCACGAAAATTTTCAGAAATTAAGAAAACTCGAAAGATTCCGTATTATTCAATACACCAATATTTTCAAAAAACATCATGAGATTTCATCATTTTTTAAGCCACAATAATGGTAAAATTGAAATAACTTGCAAATTCTATTTTTAGGGAAGCTTTGCAAAGGGAAGTTGTTTTTTATACTCGTGTGATGGTTGAATCTCAAGATGAATATGTAAGTAAATAGAATGTTCTATGTCTCATAAAAATTCGTAATTTTATGAATCTTGAAGTGACATGACATTATAACTTTTTCAGAAATCAATCTATCTGAAAAATGACATAAATTATTACCAGGAACGTAATTCTGTGGTTTCTTCTAAAGTTAATGGCTCTATGGATGAAATTGAGGTCTTGAATGAACAATCTGAGCCAATTTCTTCTTCTCAAGAGTTGACAGATCTTTCCGATCTCGGCAAAATGTTGTGAGGCTTTCTAAATTTAATGGAGGAACTATTATTGAACTTAACTTTATGATTGATTTAATTATTCATCAAAGTCTCAATTTCCCCAGGAAAGATGACGAAGAGCCATTGATTCAGGAGATGACATCGAAGGAAAATGCTCTGTTCACCATCATCAGAGAAATCAAGCAATTCAAATTCGAGATTTCTCAACTATAGAATGAATAGCTACAATCATCATCGTTGAACCGCAATCCAAAGAAAGACAAAAGAACAAAATAGCGTTGGATAATCTCATAGAAAAATAATATATAAAATTTTGTACTTGGCGAAGAATAAAAAATTATTCCTTGGAAATAGAGAAAAATCCTTGCAATTAAATAAATAGTCTAGTCAAATATAAGGAAATTTATAAAAAATGGTCTAAAAAACTGTGATTTTAGAAATATGCAGATGTCTCATTCGGAAACCACTATGTGCGAAGAATGAGATAAGAGTGCAAGAGCTGACAATAGTAAATCCAGGAACTTTCAATTTATATTGAATTTTCTCATTTTATTTGTCCTCTAAGTAACATAATTTGAATTCGACTATAACTAAATTTTCACTAAACCGAACTTCTTCCCCTGCCAATGGAACAAAAGAAAGTATATCAACAAAACAGACGATTCTTGTTCACCGAATTGAAAGATGTTGACACTAAAAAATTTTCCGTTGAAAAAAAAAGACATTCGCCCAATCAGAGGCTCATTTATTTAGCATCAGAAATAACCAAATAAACATTTGGGTAAATTAATTCAATTAAAATGTATTTTTCATTAATAAAATTTTCACCCATTCATTTTATTTCACAGTTGTTTCAAGAAAAACTTTTGAATTCTTTTTAATATTTGGAACTATTATTGATTCGAATACCGTCGTCACCAAGGTAAAATAATGAAGGTAAAATTAATATTAGATTATGCATTTGAGAAATTACAATAATGAGATGAAATTCTGAACGCCACAGAAGCGACGACTAAGCAGTCACCGACATCCCCATGCCCTCAAACACTCCCCAAAGCCAGGGGAAAATCGAGCATCAGATTCGGTTCTCCTGCACAATAAAAATTCGCAAGATTTAAAACGCAAGAGACTACCTCGCAATGCCAACCACAAGAGGCAATTACGAGGACACAAAAATGAAACCTTGTTAATCCAACATGCTTATGGCTCATTGAAATCTCTTTTCGATGTTAAAAAAATCATAAATCTATCAGAGATACAATCCATTCAGCTTCATGAAGCGAATGATACAGTTTCTAAATCAGTATCTTCAAAGGGTTCACAACATCTGGAAGCATATTTCGGATTGAATTTAACGGAGCAGATAGAATTTAACCCCAGCGTCTCACTTGAAGTAATTACGCTAGTACTTTGAAATGAGTACCCAGGAGTCCTTAGAAATACTATTGAATTAATTTAATTTCCTTTATAGAAATATCAGACCCATCTCAGTTTCGGCCGCACAAATAGCAAGTGTCAACACCTAGACTTCAATTTGATCAACGGTTCGATTTCCAACATGGCCGATGAAGAAGGCGCCCTTTCACAAGATAATACAGAATTGAGGAATTTAGATGTAAAGACGGAAGATTTACTAGAGCAAACTGAGAAAACAAAAGAGACTCCAGAGCCCTCAGCTCCTCCAGCACAAGTCATTGATCAACAAATGGGCGAACAAATAACCGAGGATACTTCTGCAGTAGAGGAAAGCCGAGGAGATACAACTGATATGAAGAATGGAGGAACTGAGGAGATGCTTACAGGGAGTAAAGAACCGGAGATTGCAGAAGCAGAGAAAGTTGCACCAGTAGATATTGATACTAGACCACCGGACCATCCTATTCCCTCTGGAATGGCTGAGGGTAAATATCTCGTTGTTCCTCATTTTCTTTGGGATTTAGATCTTCGTACGTATTCCTGGAAAAAATGCATTGTTATTAGGCGTGGAGATACTTCCTGGGCAACGTACGGATTCTGTGATCAGTTCACTTCCGATAACAGACACAGGGATGCTGGCGAAAATCATTAAAACTAGAGAGAGATGCAAACTGATGGAAAAAGAGATCGACAAGTTGAAGCAAGAAGTGGCAGTTTTGCGTCAAGTAAATACAGAGAAAGACTTGAATACATATCGACACCTTAATGACAGACAAGGGTATCTACATAGGGATCTCATAGAACCTACGCTTGTCTGTTATTGAGGTTTATCAACGTGGAGAGGAATGCTCCAGAAAAAACCTAGTTCTAATGAGGGTGAAAGAGCATAATTTACCGGCTATGAAAATTTTTGGGAAAATTTTATATGAATGGTCCTCAATAACATTTTCAGTGCCAGCATTGGAATGTTTCCCGTATTAATACGAGCATTGTTATCAAATATTCCTGAGAAAATTTGGCCAAGAAAAAATGTTCGATACCCATGCAAATGATGAAGACTTGAAAACATTCAACCCTATATGACATCATCCTAATGTCTACGTGTTAGACGCATATTATCTATTTCACTTCTAAATAATTGATTTGGGTCGGTGGATTAAAAGTTTTATTAATATGAACGAGATAACTCTATATATATGCTGAAATAAAAATTCCTAATTTTTTGCGTGCTTGCGGTTTTGGATTGCGGTTAACCATCCTTAAATTGATTAAATAGTATAAATGAAATTTCATGACATTTTACTAACTGTGAGACATCACATGAGTTATAACTAAGTTGGAGTCTTTCGATTGAAAATGTAGAAAAAACCTTTAACGGAAGATGATAAATTAATAGTCAATACCAAGACTGAAGAAATACTGTCGAAAATGGCTGAATTAGAAGACATGACCAGGATGCTTCAAAGGATATTGGGGCTCACAGATCCCACGAGCGAGGAGTTTGCGAAGGCTTTCGAAATGTTTCCTACATCACCTCATCATAGAAACGAGGTATTTTCGAATTGAAATATTTCTTCTTGAGTATAGAAAAAAAATTAACTGTATAAAATTCGTTGAAATATCCCAGGAAAAAGAAGGCAGAGATTTTGCAGATAAACTATCTCCCACCTGTAAAGATAAAATCCGGGATGAAGAATCGGAACATAAAGTTGGTACTTCTGATGATCCAGAGACGTGTGGTGATGATGAGTTCGACGTTCGGCCCCCAGAATTTCCTGAAGATAGGTGAAAACGAATTGGAAATATATTGTGGAGGGAATCATTATGTGCAAAGTGGTACAGTCCAATAATTGAAGGTAGGGCAAATATTATCGATATGACTTCCACATGCGACTGATTATAAAGTCGGAGTCAAAGTATTTTTACAGAGTTTGTATTTCATTCCACTCATAACCCCAATAGAATCCACCCAATTCTGTACAAAAATTTCCCTGATAGTTTCTTCACACTCTCTTCTTTCGAAGTTAGTTGCAAAAATCTTCAGGGAATCTGGATCTTTGCACTTTCATCACTTAAGGGAATACACTACTGAGTTTTGAAAGTTGTAAGTGAAAAATGAACTTCACGAGGTATCGTCTACCAGTGTATCTACTTGAAAAAAATCTTAAATGATCCACTGAAAAGCATTAAATATGGAAATTGGAAAAGCTTAATTTTAGTTGTAGCAACTTCAATTTCAATATTTTTTAAAATTCCTCTTTAGCACTTCCGAGTCGTCAGTCATATAGATCCAGGGATAGCCAAATTTCTAATATTTTATTACGAATACTTTTGGAGCCCTTAAATTGAAAAACATCAACCTTGTAATTTTTTGATTACTTAAATATGATCAATTCAAATATTCAAATTTTCAACTATTTTATCAATCAATAATTTGAGGTAGGAAGATTGACGATTACTTGTGTAATCGAAAATTCCCTTTCAAAAAATTTGAATTATTCACTTAGCAGTAAATTTACAGTTGCATATTAACAAATTTTAAATATTTCATTATTTGTAAAAAATCAGATTATTAATATTATATTATTGGAAAAATTGAATCAACATATTTTAAACCTTAAATAATGTAAGGGTCAAATCTGTGTAATATTACAGAAATTTAATATTGATGGGGATCCCTGTATAGATCAAACAACAGTCCGATCGGAGAATACATCCTCATTTCTGTTGGCATTAGATTTCTAGACATTGTGTCTAATTTTTAGTTTGATACGTCAACCACTACTCACATTGAGTTTTTCCAAAGTTGAAAAATGATTTTTAGCGATTTTTCAAATGCCTGTCATATTTAAATTTTTTGCAAGTAGATACACTGGTAGAAGAGACACCATGAAGTTCACTTCTCAATGGCAGAACTTTCGAAACTAACTAACATATCCTTTTAATAAATTACCAGTCCCGAATTTCCCTGTTCCTTATTGTGTCGATTTTATTGTCAAAGACTACCTCGAGTCATTGTCTGTGGTTATACCGAGGATAATATTCCTAAAATTGTCGTTGCTGACAGTCAACGGCAACCCCGAATTGAAGAAATGCAGCATCTAAAGAACATCACAGGAAAGTTAACAGAAGCATTGAACATGCAGGAGAAGTTAGCCCAAGTAAATGCCCACTTGGAGGGTAACAAGTAAGCTACAGTCTCCTTTCTACATCCAAAAACCAATTTGTAGGAGCAAAAAAAAAACCTCGCCACAAACTTTTTATTCATGGATACGGTGAATGTTTCGAATTTGTGGAAAGACGTTTATTCATATCGTTTATTTGGTCAGTGCAAATAATCGATAAATAAAAGAGATTTACTACATTTTGACAATATTTTTTTTTTTAATTTCATTCTTAACACGACTTTTAGTAAGATGAATTCCATTTCATTTGCGTCCTTATTCTGAGAGTTATTGAAGATTTGAAAAGCCGCATTTGACCCCCGCGCTGCTGTGAAGTTTCAACATTCGAATAAAGCAAATGAAAATCGAAATATGAAAAAAAAATTCACCATCTACCAATCTGTATGTTTTTTCTCACCACTACATCAACAAAATTTTGATGTCCGTTCAGATACAAATTACAAGAGGTTTTGCTTGAAAAGGACAGTACTGTAGACCTCCTACAGAGAAAACTATGTGGCCTTCAGAAGAAAATGCAATTAGTGATAAGAGAGAATGAGGAGTTGAGACGACAATTAGTGTTTATCAATGAGCGCATTGGTAACCCAACTTGTTGCAGTAGTGAGGTTAATTTTCCGAGAATCGTCGATAAACCGAGGGCTACCTATTCTCCACGTCGTGACAAGGAAAACTGCAATTGTTGTCCCGTTCCAGACTTGGCAGCTCCTCAAAGTCAGTCTGCATATGGTACTATTTTTCGCATTTTCTATTTCTCATGCAGTAGATTATAATGGAAATGAGTCAGTAAAGAAGTAGTTAAACTGAATTACTAAGACAAAATTTCGCATCCTAGACAGAAACATTTTCGATCATATTCTGCCCTGAAATCATTCAATCCTAAGATAATCGAATTATCAAAAGATATTAGACCTGATTGTAATCGGTTTTACTGCTTCGTCGATGCTAAAATAATTCAAGTTTATGGATTCTTCTGTAACAACTTGCATATCTATATAATTTTTTTGAATCTATTTCTTTTCAGCTAGTCCGCGAAGTCCAAATTTCACAGGAAAGAGTAAGTAATTTTTTTACCAAATTTTGATACAAGGGAATATTATTCCTCATCTAAGGAAGAGAGAATGCTTGGTATTTTTCAATAGATAGTCCCCGTCTTGGTGGCGGCGGTGGTTCAGAAAAAATTTTCAGTATTCCAAATCAGAACATGTGCTGTAGAAATCTCGCACTTTCTCCTCGAACTACCCTTGAGAATTCACCTACTCGCGGTCCATGTCCAGCGGAGATCGAAGACAAATTAAATACTTATGAAACTAGTACCAAGCAACTGGTAACTGAAATCTATAATCTCAATCAACAGAATGATTAATGCGCATTAAATCATTGAATCATCTGCGTAGGAACAACAATTGGGTTGTATGGAATCAGAAGTCCGTGGTATGAAGATTGAATTAGCAAATGTTCAACGCGAGAGACAACAATTAGAGCAACAGAGAAAATTATTGAAGTGCACAGGACCCTGTGCTCCTTGTCCATGTCCTTCTTCTCATGATGCTTCGCCAATGCATCAATCGATGACAGGTGTCCCTGGCGGATATGATGAGCAGCTCCTCTCGAAAGTGAATAAACAATTTAAAACAAATGTAACTCGATGAAAATGTTGAATTCTGAGATCGAATCGAAATTTCAGCAGTGAAATGACAAAATTCAACAAGACGATTCTCGTATCTTGCTGAAAACATATTCAATTATCGTAATAAGGATGGATTTCAGGACAAAATTCCACTATTTATTCTTAATCGAGTCTACGAAAAGTGCACGAATTGAATTAAATAGTAAATATTACCATGGCTATGAGAGAGATTCCTATGATAACATATTAAAAGGGTTTACATCTGTCCCTACGTAGTAATCGTTTCTATGTCCCACTGTAATGCTTACCCTATATCCCATGGTAATGCCTGCTATATTACATAGGAATGCCTACCGTGTTCATAGAGACGGTTAGCATGTGAATGGAAAGTGGCCCTATGAACGTGGGAAGTAGCTCTAAAATGACCGGTTAAAATTCGCGATTGCCTTTTGATGCGTTCATAAACTCACGACGCTTAAGGCTTGAACTCCTTTAAAAAAATTAAACAAATTACTCTTTATTTGAAATTTTCCTATTAAATTCTACAATATTTTTGGTCGAAATTTCTATATTTATTTTAATAATAAACCTTCAATTGTAACCGACGACGGTGGGCGAAGTGGTTGAATCCCTGAGCCGAATGACGGGACCCGTAGAGAGCGGTTTCGAGTCCGCCTTGGGGCAATTGGGGATTTTTAATCTTTCGGAAACCGTTGAAAGGGAGTTTAGACACTGTAAATCATCGAGATTGAATGTTTGGGGAACATTCGCCGTTGGTGTCCGGTCGATGAATGTCCATGTCGGCCAAGATTTTACATGGTTTCCCTTGGTCACCAGGAGAGTGTGCATATGGAGTACAGCTCCTAAGGTACACTGCGACATGATGGGGGAGGAAGTCGGCCCATGACCCCGCAATAGGGGATGGGATGGGACCATAGAAAACCTAATCGGCTATATGGGAATGGAAAAGAAAAAAAAATGAAGCTTCAATTATATGGAATTGAAATCAATAGTGTATTCATTAGAAGTAGATAATCAATTAGAAATAAATAAACATTTTATTTGTTTCAAACAGAATTATTGCACATCAATTCATTCTTTTCCTTCGCCATCTAAACAATGATTCCAAATTCCTAACTAATAACGTCGTTACTTCTATGGGAAAGCATCTGTTTATATTTGTAAAGCTATTCATTTGATATGAATAAAAATACAAATGCAAATTTAATTTAGGTTTTAATGGGATTTATTAGGAACTCTCTGAATAAATCCATTATTTCATTCAGAAACATAATTTCGCTTTTAGATGGTTCTTACAACAAGAAAATTCTCGTTCTTAAATTAATGATATTTCTGTGTCTAACATTGATCTACTTCTGTTTCATTCCTGGACGGTATTTAATTATTTAGAAGAATTCAATTATGTCTTATGGGACATTTTACGTCATATAGGGAGCTCTACTATGTAAAATAGTAAACTTTAACATAGCTATGTTAACATAGTAATACTTACTATGCAACATAGTAACCACTACGATGTTCCATGGCAGCCATTCTCATGTCCATATTATAATACTTACAAAACTTTGTTAACATTTACTATGTGCGGATTCCGACATGGTAATCTTTACTATTTTATTTTCTTCGTGTGTTTCCTCAACTTTGAACACATTTGCAACATAATGTGCAAAATCATCTTCTCTAACCACATCAAAAATGTAATAATGAAATCATCGCGAAAAAATATGAATAATTAATGTTGATTCCAGATCGGCCCAGCTATGAATACTTCGTGCTCCGGAATCTGCATAGACCGACCACCCGTAAATTTATTGAATCAGGAAATTAAAATGACAATACATGATGAATCACAAAAAAAAGTGAACTCAAAAAAGATTATTATTCCAGGGAGCTACCAATTGTCCACAGCAGCAACTGCGTGATCTTCGAGAGCAATACGCTCGTCTCCAAGAGGACTACAAGAACAAGCTCTGTGAAGTATCCTGTCTCCGTACAGACTCCGAAAAAATGAAACGCGAGACCCGTGAAGCCCGGGATGCTAAAGAGAAAGTCGAAAATCGAATGATTGACCTCCAAGAACGTTTGAAAAAATTTGAGTCGGAACGAAGTAAATTTGGGGGTAGTAGAGAACAAATGATTGAAGATAAACATCGTCTGATGGTGACGGAACAACGTCATAATGAAGCCCTCGAGGAACTCGAAGAATTGAGACTCTCGAATCAGGAATATCTACTTCGGCTCGAGGATTATCGAAATAAATATTTGAAAGCACAAGAAACGGTAGAAGAGCAGACCAGGCAGCTGGATATGATGGAAATGGACAACGCGAGGATGAATGAGAATGTTACACTGGAAATTGGACGAGTTAAAAATCAATTTCAGGAGAAGTTGGCAGAATTGGCACCCCTCCCAGAAATTCTTAAGCAGTCACAGTTAAAGCTGCAAGAGTCCCAACAGATGCGAGCGATGGCTGAGAGGAATTGTGAGGAGTTGGACAGAGAACTTCTGGCCGCTAAAGAGAAACTTGGGGCCTTATCGAGTCAGTTGGATAATTTGCGCAGTGAAAATGCCATTCTAAAGGTTTGCACAAGATTGTCACGTTATTTTGCTAATTTTTCACTTTTTTCCAAAATTTAGTAAATAGCGAGAAGCAAGTGATTTTTTGAAAAACATCTTCAATAGGTTTGTAGGCATATTTTTTGTAGAGACAACTGAAAAAGTAGCAATCGATAACTCCGATGGAAAAGTCATTAATTGGGTAATTTCGCGAGACGAACAAAAACCAAGAACTCAAATCTCCGGATGGCTGGAAAAACTGATAAAGGCCGAAGGAAAATGGATCACATCTCGACAATGCCAAGTGTCTAGGACTGTCTCGGTATCGCCGGAGTCTCGAAAATTAAAGTTTAGTCTTGACCCATCTCGTTAGTCTCGTTCAATTGAGAGAAAAACAAAATTTTACCTCTCAGTTAAACACCAAAAAGATCAAACGTGACAAGGATCATATCTCGCAAGTAGTCCAGTCAAACTAGCTCTGAAAATGTCGTTTATATCGAAATTAACCAAAGGGTACCAAATTACACCAATCGATAGCTAAAAGTGTAATTATTAATGTTTTAAAAAGTATATGCTCAAATTTGCCGGGGTGATTCGCAATTTGTTATAAACAATTGGGAATTGGCGACAGGCCGTCTTCAATCCTAGATATCTTTAGTTAACCTCACCAGATGGGAAAAAAAAAATTTCTTTGCAGCTGAGAAAATTTCCTATCGGGGGGAGTTAGGAACTTATAGCCCAAAATGTACCGTTAATTTGTTATAAATTATAATAGCAATTTCGGAGCAGTCGGCGCAATGCGTCAGCTGTTCCCCTCTCTGCACCAGTGCCACGAGTCACGTGATTGGCGCCATGCGCAACTTATTCATACCTCCTGCTGCGCTCAACGCAATAGCCCTCAGCTGGGTTTTTGATGAATATCTCCGAATCTGTGGGTGGTAGCCAAATTTTTATTATAAACTTTTTTGTAGATCTTTATTTGCTCTATAAAAATGGTCTGTTTGGTGAATGACTAGATTTAGGATGGATGTGGGATGAAATTGTGGAGGGAGCTGTTGGGAAAATTACTGATGAGCTGGATTTAAAAAATCACACTTTATTTTATGGGATCGAACCACTTTGTCAAAACTTATGTACACTCTTTGGTAATACGTAATTTCATTGGTGATAGTCTAATGTCACTGATGATTGTCTTTGCACGTTAATTTGGTGAGTCACTGAATTTAAACTGAATTTAATCAACAGAGGTGATGTACTGAATAAAGGTATTCAATTTTGAATGCTAATTGACTGAATCGACTTCTCGATATGAACTCTTACTAATGTTGATTAATACTCATTAATAACTATTCGGTGAATTACTACACGTTGAATTACTCGTTGAGTTCTACTTAATACTTGTGGACTAGTTGAGAGACTACTACTTAGTTGATGGGAACTCGTTGAAATACGAATGGATACTATACGACGTCTACAGGTGATTTGCTCGAGATAGACTTGTACGGTGAGAGGCTAAGCCTAAACTGATTCGCGCGTGTTTCGGTGACTTATGACTGATGACCCGAAGGGTCCCGGAGATTTTCGAAGTAGGCCGATGGTCGACCAGAATGTTCTGGAATTTTAGTTGCGTTTCAAACATGGTCTTAACAAATATTTTGCTATTCTCCAACGTTTTCGAGATATTCAATGAAAAATAAAAAATAGTCAAAATAAAATTGAAAAATTTGCTACTGAATTGTCGGCGGACAATTTCACTTATTATTGTTCAAGATCCCTTTTTTTATATCTGAAATTTGACTAATTTTATAATTCCTCTGATGCAAATTGACAAGTCTAAGAGAACACTTTCCTATTTTTTGTTTTGTACCTTTAAAATTTTAATTTTGATGAGAGTTTTCATATGGTTTTCTTATCATTAAAACTCCGAATGCGCGCGAAATTTGCCATAAATTTGCAAAATTTATGAATATTCAAATTATAATAGTTGTTTGATAGATCAAAGCGTGGCATTGTTGTTGAAGAAATGTTGAGAACTTTAAATATTATTATTTTATCACATTATGATTTTCTCTTTTCATATATTTTGAATTTCTTATATTCTGTGAAACTAAATAGTTCTTCTCAAAAATATATTCATTGAATGTTCTATGCATTGCTGCTTTCATTGTATTTTGAACTCCTTAAGCCATGGGAGAATAAGGAAATGCCAAATTTCTAGGAATTCTTCCGGAATTCCTAGACAGTTGAAGGATTATCTTGAAACTTCTGGAAGTGTCTTGAATTTGTTTAATAATTCCAGAAACGCGTGAATTCTTTCGAAATTTCTAGAAGTTCTAGAAATTTCTTGAATTCCCCCACAAATTCCACAAATGCATAAATTCTTCCCAAATTTCCCTGAAGTTTTACATTTCTTCCAAATTCACAGAACTGCTTCTACCTCTCAAAAATTCTAGAAACTTGAGAAATTCCGTCAGAAATTCTAAATTTAGTTGAATTTCTTAAAAATTTCAAGAAACTCGAAGAATTTCCTAGAAATTTCTTGAATTCCTCCAAAAATTCGAGAAACCTGCATAATTCTTTGGAATTCTCCAGAAGTCTCTTCGATTCCTCCGAAACTTTCAAGAAAAATTTTTAAGAAAATTTTCAAGAAAAATTGTAGTGCTAGCACTGGAAAAGAAGGGCAAAGTGGCAGCCAGGGAAAAATTCCAGTGCTAGCACTGGAAATTTTATTGGTATTCCTGCGACTCTTTTGTGTACTTAGGTGAAATTTTCACAGGAACACCAATAAAATGTCCATTGCCAGCACTAGAATTTTTCCTTGGCCATCACTTTAACCCTCTTTAACCCTCTTTTCCAGTACTAGTACTAGAATTTCTCTTGGAAATTTCTCTCCGTATAGAAATCCTTGAATTGTTTCGAAATTTCTAGAAATTTTGAGAATTCTCTATTTTCTAGTGTTTGCTTCAATTCCCTCGGAATTCATGGAAATATGGAAAGTTTCAAAATTTCTTTGGAATTTTAATAAACGGAAGCAATTCTTTCAAAAATTATAGGTTTATCGAATTCCTTCTAGAGTTCTAGATGCTTGAAATTTTTTTTCAATATTTCTAGAATTATTTCTAAAATTTCTCTTCTCAAAGTTTCTAGAAACTCGCAAGATTTCGTCTGAAATTAGAAATTTCTTCAATTTCTTGGAAATTTTGAGAAGCTTCGAGAATTTTCTCGAAGTTTCTTCGATTTCTCCAGAACTTTTAAAAATCTTCAAATTGTTCAGAAATTTCTGGAAATTGTGAGAATTACTTTTTTCTATTGTGTTCTTCAATTCTGTCGGAATTCCTAGAAATTTGAACGCTTATTTTGCAATTTCTAGAAATGTCTCTAATTTATCCAGTAAATTATTCTCACCGATAAAAAATAATTATTCACACACAAAAATATTTTGTTGTAATTGAAGGGCTCATGAAACCAGAAAAAAATCCAAGGTTGCAATATAGTCTCGGAATTTCAGAGGTCTAAATAAATTCAAGGATGACAAAATTCAACTTTATTGAATATTTTGAATATTGTTAATTTTTCAATGAATATCTCGGAAACTTTGGAGAATAGCAAAATTTTTGTTAAGACCATGTTTGAAATTCAGCTTTTCAAACTAGTCAAACGGTCACCGGGCTCAACGAAAATCTCGAGAAACTTCGGGACCCTTCGGGGTCACATTCAGCTACGAAGAAAATCCCCGAAAAAGTCTGTAGTACCGCTCTAGCCACCGAGAGAGTCACTCTAATCACAGTACTGTATCGCCGTAACCGCTCAATCGAGTACATCACCGGAGTACATCAACGCGATATATTTGAGTCTAGCGCTCCGTACAGCGTCTCTATTTAATTCAATTCTACTATCAATTAATTCCGAGTTACCTATCAATTANTAATTGACTTTGTCGAGCAACTCAATAGTGTAACATTATTAATTTATCAAGACGCGTGGGTTATTCCACAATAAAGTACATCAACAGTGTGGTTTTATAATTCCGCGTGTTTTAATTTTCCCACTTTTTCCCAACCGGCATCTCAATTTAGCTTCAATCTAAAAAAAATGGTCCTTCGAGCCGGATGGAGAAAAAGTGCGTGAGAGTGAGTGGAAAATTCTACAATAAAATGGACGCCTCGTGTGTAACAGACTTTCGGGTTCCACACGAGCAAATCTACGGACAAGTCAAGACAATCAACAGTGCAGAGTGTTGTGCCTAGTGTTTACAGTTGAAGTTCGGTATTGTAAACACCGGTAGTGACATTTCGACCTCTAGTGCTGTGTAACTTCAGAAAACCTCGGTCTCCGTCGGGACTAGCCGAGGCCCAAGCCGCGCGCGCACCGCGAAAACCAACAGGCAATTGGAAGAGTGCCCTCACCTAATAACGTGCCCTACCTTATCGACAGTGGGCATCAAGTCAACATCAGTCGGTATCTACCTACTATCGATAAGTTACCTCACCCAGAGCAGAGACGACCACCATGTCAGACGCGGAGTTAGGAGATAATCAACGTATGCATGAACGCACTGAGGAGATAATCAAGCGAAATTGAGCCAATTATCCAGATTACTGAGCATCCATCTCAAGCGCACTTCAGTGAAGAAATTACACCGCCGTTTCCTGACGCGACTCCCATTCACCAACAAGAAAATAAACACACTGTAGCCGAGATGAGAACTGCAATAGGCGAACTCAGAGACTCAGAAATTCCAAACAAATAAACTGGACTTCAAGGTAATTCACTCAATGATCTTTATCAACAATTGTTGCAGTCAGCCGGGAACATTAGCTGTCTCACAGTTGAGGAGTTGGACGGCCAGGAGAAAATTATCAAAGGAGAATGGAATGAATTTCTCATCATCCAACACAAAACTCAGCGAGAACCTCCTGCCAACTCATCAACATATTATTCAGAGCACTTTAGCGGTAACCCTACGCAGTCTACTCCCATCCTGGACTCTACTCAACAGACGAGCATCAAACGGAATGTGTCTG